GAATGAAATTTGTGATGCATATTCTAATTTCAATAATATGGGTTATTTCTTCCAAAATCTTGGACCTTCAGGTGCTAACCTACCTTTTTATATGACAATGAGTTTGATTAAGTTTATTCTGATGATCAGGTTAGTTCTTCAATCTAGTTATTTGATATTTTATATATATATATATATATATATATATTGTTTAATTGTTGGTATTAGCTAAAATCAATATAAATTTACAACACTATAGGTTAGTGTTAAACCAACTATATGCATCAGCTGGTGCAGTCAACTTTTGTTGTAAATATATATGTATTTTAGTTAATACCAATAATAAAATAAAAAATATATATATAATATCAAACTAGATTGAATCACTCACCTAATCATCAAAATAAACTTGATCAAACTTACTGTTATATGAATTGGGTAAGTTAGCATATGAAGGTCCAAAATTTTGGAACAAATAACCCATATGATTGAAATTAGAATATGCATCGTAATCTTCCTTCTCAATTGGATCACTTCCTTATATATCACTCTTATTTCTCGCAATTCTGTTGCTCGGATAAGACATATTTAGTTCAGCAATATGTTGCTCAAAATTAGCATTTGTTGTTCCAAGTGCATCACTAGTCACATTTTCAGCATTAATATAAGATATTGTTGTCCTACCTAAATATGTATTTGTATTTCCTACATTCATATTCAAATTATAGTCATTAATCGTCATATTTCCAATACCTATATCAAACATTATTTTACTATCTGAATGTGTTGTTTTATGAGCTACATTTGTTTCAAGTTATACTCACTTTGCGTATGATGATTCCAAGTGTTAAATGCCGAGTTAGGCCTATGAGTAATGTTTCCTATAATTGGGTGTGGTAGTCTTGGTGAACCAAACATTTCCAATAATGGTATAGAATGATGTTGTTGAAGCACACCTCCAAACCAAACATTTCCAATTATGGTTTATACTGATGTTATTTAAGCACACCACCAACATTATTTTTCATCCAAAAAATGTGTTATTTAATGAATTTTCAATGTAAAGGTTGTGGGGTTGAGCCTGAAATTGTGGAGAAAGAGTTTCTCTTGAATTGAACTCTCCCCTCTGGCAAAAAAGTTACTGGAATTGGTAGTTCAAAATGGAAACTCTAGTGTTCTTTGTATTTGATTAGGAATATTATTTTTAAGACAGGGCATTTGTAGGAAATAAGGAAGGAAAAATAATATCTTTAGAAAATGCACAAGTTTATTATATGCTACATAAGGCCAATTGAGATTATTACAATCATAATTATATCACTATTTATACTACTCAAAATAGAAATTAAAAAGTCTTGCACAAATAACTAAATACATGTATCACAATTTACTAGATACATGTACTACGAAATTCTAAAGAGACTTCTTAAAAACCTAAGAGACAATTTCGGAAGACTAAACATTGATACATTAATTCCAACACTCGCCCTTAATGCATTCTTGACAACTCCAATGCGTTCTCAAAGTTAGCAAATTTTTTCTCTAGGAAATGCTTTGGTGAAGATGTCAGCAAGTTGTTCTCCTTGTTTTATTTTAAAAAAATACAACTAACTATTTTTTGGTTTAAAAATGAAAAAATTGACTAGGTTTCGAAAAATTAATTAATCTTATTGTTTAAGAAAAATCGACTTTTCAAAATTATGGAGTCGCCACTTGATTTTTGATAAAATCAAGAAAAAATTTAAAATTGTCAAAAGATTCAAAACAGATAAAATCAATTGAAAAAGGTTCGAAGTTCAATGTACATCCCGAGAAGGTGTTAGGCCCTCGGGATGCCCGCTAACTCGCGGTTGACCGGCGATTTGACTAAATGACTATTAAAATAAAAATTTTAACTAAGTAAAAAGAAATTTGTTTTAATATTTTTTATTTCATTATTATTATTTTTATTTATTTCTAAAGGTTGAGGGAATTAATTTAAGGAAAACTAAATTGTGATAAAAGTAAGTAAAACAACAATAGTAAAATTTAAATAATGAAAAATGGCTACCCCTTAGAAGATTATTAAAATTCTACTAAGTTATTAAATAATTCAAACAAATAAATAATAGAGAAAGAAATATTTGAACTTGGGCTTGATTGACCAAATTCTTTCATTTGGGCTTTGGCCCACCTGTCATAAACTAATCCTTATACTTGGGCCTTCTTTAAAACCTGCAGAAACAAATGACTTTTGGGCCTGTTAAATAAAAGGGGGGCTGAAGGGCCCTGGCCCAATTCCCTGAAAAGAGACATAAAGTATACAAATTTATACATGTTGTATACAACATATATCTGACCCATTTGGACCTCTTGAGCCCTGCACCTTTTGAATATATATTTACCGTTACTTTTCCCTGTATTGCCCCGCGTATTTATACCTGTATCATTTTTTAAAAACTTACTTAACAAGTGTATATCGTCGCCCTATTATGTATACTAATGTATACGGGCTGCACCCTACGTCCGCATTGTTTGCCTAATTCTGAATTTTAATTAGAATAGACGTCCCTCTACGTTCCCCTGCCAATCATATTTTTTAAGCATATATATAGTATATCGTCCCTATATATCTGTGTATACAGGTTGTATATCAACCTGTTTTTCAACTTTCGACAGCTGAAAAATTATTTCCAGAAGTATGTCCTCACTGTTATCAACCTGTGTTTCGAATTTGGTCCCCTGTACGTTTTTTTGACCTGTATACTGATGTATAAAGTATGTATACAGCTGCTATACAGCTACATCAACACCTGCCAATACATTTTACAGCCCCTTTCCAGGTTTTGATGAACCTTCAGTTAATTTCCAGCAACTCGTTTGATATATTTTAGCCTGTACGCCAGTTTTGAGGGGGTCCACGACTCAAGGATGACAGTTCAAGCCTTTACGGCTCAACGAGAAAGTGCAACGAGATGGGTTAAAGTCCATGAGGACTCGAGGAGATTTCACATGCAATAAAACCAAAAAAAATAAAAGAATTAGCACCTTAAGCGATAAGCTAATAGAATGTGTCTTAAACAAAACGGTAATAGAAGATGTGAGCTATTTTAGAGATAATGAGTTAGGAAAGGGGTACAAAATCTCAACACACATCTCATATGAAGGCAACACAGGGGACTCCTCATGCATGCAGCACTGTTCAAATGTTCAAAAGAATAAAATGAAAGTCATCATATGTCAAGGTTCATTAGTGATAAACTTGAGGCTATGTGAATCATTTCAAACCCAATGACAACAACACGACAGTGAGCAATAAATATACTGTAGACCAAACACAGAGGAGAATTGATCCCTTTCTATCATTCAAGCCATTTAATGCACATAAAGGGCATTATATGCAGGAGCCATTGATAACCAAAATCACGTCAAAGAAAAGGCCTACCCGTAAGACAAAGTGTAAAATCCTCCTCCAAAATGGTCATAATTCGAACACATAAATGTTTCTAACCCCTTAGGACAACTAAGAATACGATAAAGAAAAAGTTACCGACATATACTCAAATAAAACTCGATTAGAAACCTAGCTATAACGCACTCAAGACAAGCGAATACGGAGGTTGTCAAACAAACAAGACGAGAACTCGTCCGAGCTTACACATTCACAACCAAATATGACCGAAGGATCTAGTGTCTATATCAATCTAAGCAACACATTATACTACCTACAAGTTCATCCAAGCCTGAATGAACAACTCGAGCGAGAGGGACAACATGAACAAGCTTAAGACGAGGTAAGCGAAACAAGAGAAGACTATACTTCAAACATACACCTACATTTCAGTTTCATAACTGGCAGCAGCAACAGAACTTTAAAACGCCAGCAGAAGCCATTTCAAAACAAAAAAAAATGAGAAAGTCGTGTCAAGCGGTAGGGGTTACTTGTTTTAGAGCAGCCATCTGGAACAACAAATAACGCTGAGGTCTTCCACCACAATACTCAAACTCAAAAGGCGATATAGAGCTCCTTGTAGGTAGCGATAGGACAGGGACGAACGTCTCTATGGTTTCAATAAACTATCTCAAAATACTTATATACAGTGATATGGCTGGAAGCTTGTGGCCATATTCCTCTGTAACCTTTTCTCTTTACTCCCTTTTTTATCTATATTTTCTTTCTTTCCCTGTTTCTTTTCCTTTTTTTCTATTTTTCCTCCTTTCTTCTTTCTCTCTCTTTTCTTCTTTCTCTCCACCAACCCCCTAACAATAAAGAAGATGGGGATTATTTATAAGCCAAATTATGGCAAAAAGAGTGGGAAATTTGTTTAGAATTTGAATTTTGAATTTTAAAAGGGGTAAGGTTGGAGGGAAAGGGAAAAAGGGAATTGAATTGGAAATTAATTAAAACGAAATGGGCCATGTAATTGGGCCTGGGTGTCTGAAAATAAAGTGGGCCTGGAAGGGAATGAGGTGGGCTGGAAATTTATTAGGCTTGGGGTTTGGGAGAAGTGTTGGGTTGCTGAAGTGGGCTGGGAGAAGAAGAAATAAAAATGGGCCTGGAAATTAAAGGGAGTGTGTAAATGGCCCAAAACTAAGATCTTTTTGTGGATTTAAAGAATGGGTTAAATTTGATAAATAGCCAAATTGAGTTAAGATAATAAATTTGGCTAAACCTTAAATAAAACGAATTTCTATTAATTAATCAACGAGCTTCTTTAATTTAGTAATATAATTATTTAAATTATAAAATAGTGGTTCAAAATATAACCATAATTTAAACTATATTAGCTAAATAGAATACTTACTAAAATTAAAATATTTTTGAGATGGTTTTTTGAATAATCATAAAATATACTAATTATATACATAATTATGTAAAATATATATATTATTCAAAAGTTATAAGAAATGACAAAACTATTCAAAATAACACAAACTTTATTTTTTTTCTTAAAATTTTATAAAACTAATTATTTTAAATTGCTTGAAAAATTTAAGAAGCTCATGAATTAATTTCTATCGGAGATGGTCAAAATTGGGTGTCAACACTCCTGTCTGACAATAATGCAACTGCATTTCGCCTTTCTCTTGTACTTCTTGGATAAAAAGATACTTGACGAAAACATGCTTTGATCTTTCATGGCTGACTGGATTCTTGGTAATTGCAATTGCTGATTTGTTATCACAAATACATAACAGTCCTTTTTTTTTGTTTTTTCACCAATGTCTTCAAATATTCTCCTAAGCCAAATAGCTTGAGAAGTAGCCTTGGATGTTGGAACATATTCTAATTCGGCAGTGGATTGAGCAACAACACTTTCCTTTTTTGATAACCAAGAACAAATACTTGATCCAAATAAGAAAGTATAACCAAAAGTACTCATGTCATCTATACTTCCAGCCCAATCACTATCAAAATAACCAATTAAGTTCAAATATCCACCAAATTTGTACATTATCCCATAATCCATTTTTCCTTGCAAGTAGTGTAAAACACGCTTTGCAGCTCCAAAATGCACTTGGCTTGATTCTTGCATGAATCTGGATAATAAACTAGCAGAAAACATAATATATGGCCTTCTTGAATTAGCATATAGCAAACTTCCAATTAAACTCTTATAAAGTGAGCTATTAACTTTCTTTTCTCCATCATATTTTCTAAACTTCTCATTTGCTGCTACCTACAGACCTGCATTCCATCATTTTGAATTTTTGAAGAATACCTTTAGTATACTTCTTTTGAGAAATGAAAATTCCTTCTTTCACTTGAAAAACTTCAATGCCCAAGAAATAATTTAGCAACCGAAGATCACTCATTTCATAAGCTTGCATCATATCTTTTTTGAAATTTTGCATCATCTTTACATCATTTCCTGTAAGAGAAAATCATCCACATATAGACAAATAATGATAATGCTGCCATGTTCTTTCTTCACATACAAAGTGGCTTCACTTTTACTTTTCTGAAAATGATTTTTCAGAAATTATATATCAATTTCATTGTACCAGGCTCTTGGAGCTTGCTTCAGTCCATAAAGAGCTTTTTTTAGCCTATACACCTTTACTTGTCCCCCTTGAACGAAAAATCCTTGAGATTTCTAAACATAAATCTCTTCATCAAGTTTTCCATTCAGAAATGCTGATTTAACATCAAGTTGAAATAACTTCCATTTTTTTGTGCAGCAACAACAATTACAGTTCTAATTGTCTCAAGACGAGCAACTAGAGAGAAAGTTTCATAAAAATCAATACCTGATTTTTGCGTGAAGCCTCTATCAACCAACTTTGCTTTGTGGTTTTGAATATCTCCTTCCTCATTGAGTTTTATTTTGTAAATCCATTTTATACTTACAACTCATCTTTCTCTAGGAATAGCCATAAGTTCCCAAGTATTATTTTTTTCAATCATTCGAATATCTTCTTCCATGGGTTTCTTCGAAACATCATGCTTTATTGCTTCTTCATAATTTTCTTGCTCAACACCGGCAAAATTATATCTTTGATAAATGTCACTCAACATTTTTGTTTGTCTTGGAGGTGGTTCTTCATTATCTGAATCTGGGATTTCCCCCCCTTGAGAGACATCTTCATATTTCTCATCCTCTTCTTGATTTGAAGATATGATAGCAAAATTCTCTATCTTTTTTATCCTTCTAATTCCATGTTTTTTTAAATAAAAAATGACATCTCTACTAACAACAAGTTTTTTAGTTTTGACATCGAGAAGTGTATATCCTTTTGTCACATCACTATAACCAACAAAGACACATTTTTGACTTTTTTCCATCCAATTTTGTTCTTTTCTCAGCAGGTACATAAACATAACAAATACATCCAAAAATTTTAAAATGACTTACAGAAGGTTTAATTCCACTCAAAGCTTCAACTGGTGTCTTGTCCTTTAATGCCTTTGTTGGACACCTATTAAGGATGTGAACTGCTGTATGCACTGCTTCTGCCCAAAAATATTTTGGCAGCCCTTTCTCATTCATCATAGTTCTGGCCATTTCAACAATTGTTCTATTTCTTCTTTTAGATACACCATTTTGTTGAGGAGTATAACCTGCTGTAAGTTTCTTCTGAATGGCTTTATTTTTGCAATATTCTTCAAATTCTCGACTTGTGTACTCACCTCCTCGATCACTGCGAATGGTTTTGATGCTACATCCTTTTTGCTTCTCAACAAGGGCTTTAAATTTCTTGAATGTAGCAAATGCTTCTGACTTTTCTTTCAAGATTTAAACCCAAGTCATTCTTGAGAAATCATCAATAGAGATTAGAAAATACCTTTGAATTCCAAGAGATGGAGTCTTCATTGGTCCACAAATGTCAGTATGAATTAGCTCCAAAAGTTCACTTGCTCTCCAAGACACCCCTTTTGTAAAAGACTTCATGTGTTGCTTTCCCATTATACAACTTTCACATGTATCCACCTCAGTATGTATCTAAGGAAGACCTTGCACCATGTCCTTTTGCTTGAGAAGCTTTAAACCATGAAAATTCAAGTAACAAAATTTTTTGTGCCAAAGCCATGAATCATTTATAATTTCATTTTTTAATGCATTGTAATGAAATTGCAAAAGGAAGTTTCTTTTTATCATCTTTACTTCAACAATGACTTGATTTGGCTTAATTTTATCATAAATTCTGCAATAATTATCTCTAAACACAAGAGAATCACCATTTTCCAAGAGTTGACCAACACTAAGAAAATTTTCTTCCAAGTCAGGAATATAAAGAACATCATGAATTTACTTGCCGCTTCCTTTCATGTTAATCGAAATAGTACCTTTACCTTTTGCATCAACTAAGGCTCCATTCCCCATCTTAACTTTAGTAGTGATGCTATTATTAATTGAGAGGAAAGCCTTTTCATCTCCAGTCATGTGATTATTACAACCATTATCAACATACCATTCATTGCTATTTATTGAAGCATCAGATTTATAAGCAAAGAAAATGTTTTCTTTCCTTTCTTCCTCCTGTTTTTTTCACAAAAATTTGCTTGCTCCCGTTTCTTTTGCTAACAATCCTTTTCAACTTGGCCAAACTTTTTACAAAAGTTACATTAGGGCTTGCCTTTGTGCCAACTTTTTTCTTCATTGTAATTAGTCTTTTTGCAGACTTTACAAAAAGACTAGAGTTTTTCTCACCTTTTTCTTCCATCTTCTGGGAAGAACCATCATGATCCTGCTTTTTTTTTTGGCTTGTGATTTTTCTTCTATTGATTTTTTGATAAATTTTGAGCATTGTCATTTGTTTTAGACTGTAAAGCTGTCTCTTTGGGTTGATCTTCATGAAAAAATCTTCGCTTCTCGTATGCACGAAATGATCCAACTAGCTCTTCGATGGAAAGCTTAGAAAGATCTTTCCTCTCCTCAGTGATAGCAACGACGTACTCATACTTTTCTGTGACACTAATTAGAATATTTTCCACAACTTTTTGGTCAGAAATTGTATGACTATGACTTCTCATTTCATTAACAATATTCATGACTCTTGTGCAATATTCATCAAATTTTTATATTCCATTATCTTTAAATCTGTAAACTCTCTTCTAAGAGTTTGAAGATTTATAGTGCGTACCTATTTGTCACCATACACCTCAGTTTCCAGAAAATTTGAAGATCCCTTTGCAGTCTCACAAGTAGTATTTTTTTGCAAAATATGCTCTTGAGACTCCCATTTGGATTTTTCTCAAGACTTTTGCATCTTGACGATACCTAGCCTCAATATTTTTCATCTCTACTGCTGTAAGATCACCATCGTTGTCTGGCTCTTCCAAGCCATTTGCAACAATAGTCCACAAACCTTCAGTTTTCAAATGTGTTCTCATTCTTATCTTCCAGTATTCAAAATCAGTTCCACCAAAAATTGGAGTAAGAACAACTGAAGAAACAACACCTTCATTTGTTTTGGATGCCATATTTTTTCTTCACCTAACCCCAGATTAAGAACGAAAACCTGCTTTTGATACCAATTGTAGGAAATATGGAAGGAAAAATAATATCTTTAGAAAATTCTCAAGTTTATTATAGGTTACTTAAGGCTACTTGGGCTACTTACAATCATCAACTACATCACTATTTATACTACTCAAAATAGAAAACAATAAGTCTTGTACAAATAACTAAATACATGTATCACAATTTACTAGATACATGTATTACAAAATTCTAAAGAGACTTCTTGAAAAACTAAGAGACAATTTCGGAAGACTAAACATTGATGCATTAATTCCAACACCATTGCCCCATATTTTCTATTGCTACTGTTTTGTTGAGATTCACATAAAGATTTTTACCTCATGTATGATGACTACTTTTGCGCTCTTCTGGAGATGTCAAATTGTTGAAGCAATGTTTCTGCTGTTGTTTCAAGAATTGTGGCACTCCTAGAACATCTAATGAAATTGGAGCTAGACAAATATTAACAAAAGATTATCAACTCCCCCCCCCCATTTCTAAAAAACATATACATTTTTATGGAAGAAGTCTATCGAGTGTAAAACATGCCTATAACAAAAACTAATCAGATTTGCTTCTTCTATAAGAACATAAAAACATTTATGAATAATTAAAAGAACAAATACTAAACAATCTAATTTTCTCTAAATAATTTCGAAATTAACTTTTAGGGAATTATTTTGGTAAAAAAAAACTATATTAGTTAAGTTTGAAAAAGTTAGAATTGTGCTTAGGGCTTGGAGAAGAGAGGAAAGAAGAAAGAAATGGACAAAAGTCAAGAATATGCCAAAAAGGTCAAAGCTTTGCGAGTGGAATTTGTCGGGGATGATCCCTATAAAGGTATGTGAGATCCTTTAGTTCTATATTCATTCACCCACACACCAAACTTGTTTCAATTCAGTGATTAGTGAGTTGTTTACATTTTAGTATATGATGTTCTTGAAAAACATTATCGAATTCTTGTTGGTTGAGTTGTTTAATGCCTAGTGTTGATTTGATTCGTAATTTCGGGTTTTCTTGAGTTTAATCTATTGGGTATTGAGGGTACTAATTTCCTAATTGTTTGGTAAAAGAACCATGGAAGTTTAGAGGGTTTAGAGTTGAAAAATAAAAGAGAAAGGTCGAAGATTTTCTAGCTGGGGCGCCACGCCACAAAAGTTCTTCTGAGCTTTTGCCGCTGGCGCATCGTACCAGCCAGAGCGCCACAAAAGGTTCTCTAAACTATGAGGGCTGGCGCCCTGCGCCTCTTAGAGCGCCAAGGACGTCAGTTCTCCCCATTCTCCCCCCATTTTTTCGTACTAATTTGTAAGTGATGTACCTATGTTTGTTAGTTTATTCCAACTCTCTAAGGTACATCTAACCATCATTAAATTATCCTTAAACAAGATATCATGAATGTTAAATCCATAATCTAATTCAAGGAAAGTTAGATCAAAGTCAAAGAAGTTAGGAGTCAAGTATAAAAGTTAAAAAGCAAGTCAAAGTAAGTTCTCAAAGTATTCATGAGTCTTTATTAAAAGTTTTATATATTTTTAAGGCTCAAGTTGCAATTAGGGAAAGAGTAAAAAGTTGAGTTCATTTCTCAAAAGTTATAAGGGAACTAAGTATTCTTTAAGAGTTACAAACGTTTTCATATTATTGCAAGAAAGGAAGCTTAGACTTCCAACAGAGTCTTTGGCTAATTTTAGTAAAGATTAAACTGTCACGATTGGAATCTAGACCCCAGGTGAGACCAGCGTCGATGACCTCTCAGAGGTCACAAACAACCTACTTACGTCATCCTTACTTTAAATAGGTTAATTTTAAACTTTTGATTCTTTAAACATACTCGCAAAATATTTTTAAGATTTCAGAATTAATCATCATCAACCATCTAACATTAAAGCGATAAGCAAATGAAAGAAATAGTTCATTACGACTTAATTGTATAATTGGCAAAATGGCACCAATCAAAACAATAAAGAAACGCTAGTGGAATTTGCTCCGCTAGCTCAACTCTAAAACTATGCTAGAATGTAAAACAGTAGCATCCTCCAAAAGAATGAGGACCTACAAATTTCCGGATGAATGTTGATGTCCGGATAGTTGCAACAATGAACCTATAGCTCTATCACCCACCTGTTCAGCACCTAAAAGTTGATATTTGAATGGAATTAGTACACACTTGTACTAAGTATGTGTATATTCAAGCAACAACAAGGACATGCATGAGAAGGAATAATTTTTTCCTTACAACAATATTTATGGAAGGTCAAGTCAGTGGACTTGCCAAATTGAGATTAGGAAAGTTAGTGGACTTTCCAAATTGAGTTAGGAAGGTCATCCCATGAGAGAAACATGCATCATTATAAATTTCGTATTGCTAACAACACATAACATATTCAATTAGCACATATCATAGCAGATAACATACAACACATAATTTCTTTCATATCATTCATTCATATGCCATGAGACCTTGGTATCATGGACTTGACATTAAGACTTTCATAAATGAGGGATCAACATATAACACCTCAACTAGGGAGTCTTCAATAGCAAACACAGAGTCTGCTTCATACATTCATATGTACTTCATTTCATTTCATTCATAGACCAGTGTGAACACCAACTATACCTAGGATGTAGTTTAAGACTTCCATCGGGTTTGTCGTGCAATGATCAGGAATAACCTAATGTCATTACCTGAGTCTAGCTTACCTCTTTATTATCCTATCCTAACACCTTCGGTATCATTCATTTCTTTATATGTTTCATTAGAGGCTGGCCTCAATCATTCATTGGGAGCTTTAACTTTAACCGACATAGATCATGTAAGCATCATGAAATTCAGTGTGTCCCCCACACTAAAAAGAGGTGGAATCACTGGCCAAAGTAACTTAATAACATGCTAGGGTATATGGGAATTTAACCCCACCACATCCCTATATTGGTAGTATAAGTTTAAAGACTAGGAGATGTATGGAGACACATACCTGACAATCAAGACAATCTCATCTCATGAGAGTTACGTGAACCTTTTCCCTTCCCAAAAGAAGTCATCACTGCTCATAGCTATCTTATCGGTGTTCAGTATAAAGTTCTATTATGTTCAACTCATACGTCATGGAAGCTGGCTTCTAGTATGAGGACAACATAGCTCATTAGATGATTTCTCATTTCATCATTAGCATTAAGTGTACTAAATTCATTACTTTCATTAGAGTGTTCATAGAGACTGGTCTCTTCATTATCTTACACTCTCATTGGTGAGTACGTGTTGGTAACATTTACTTCGGCTCATTTGAGATTTCTCTCATCATATATATTAGCCTCATATCATGTTTTCACCACATTCTTCATTATTAGCACCTTTGCTTTTCATAGTTACTGCCCTCTTATTATGTGAAGGTTCATTTCATCATTTCATAGTTCATCTCATCATATGCCAATGCGCTTGGCCATTTAGTGTATCTTACACTCATACCTAATCCTACTAGGGTTCATCATTTCATTACGAACATCCTAGGTTCACTTAGTTTTGCACGTATATTAGACTTATGTGTCTAAACATACAATCCACGGGGCTTCTTTCATATTTCGTCAAGTGATTCTACTTTCCTAAGATTGTGTAGTACAAGACTTATGTATCGTGTATATGTGCCAAGAGCTTGATTTTTTTTATCTATGTAGATAGCATTACACTTGGATATTTTACTCACATATGACTTATGTATTAATACGGAAGTTTAGGCAAGGGAACCCAAATCTTGAATCATTTGGATATCATTTATATTTTCATTGATTTTATTTCTAAAATTCATAACATTAGAATTCTAAACTAAATCTCAACCTTTACATGGAAGGATTAATTTTCTATTTTAATTTTACTCTTAGTTAATCGAAGGGTTGGGGGTTCGAGCTCCTGCAACCCCTTTGATTTTTAGAATAAATTCGCTACAGTAGGGAGGTTGTGGGTTCGAACCCCCATAGCCCTTCCCCCTTTATTTTTTTAAGTTTTGCTGAGGAGGTTGTGAGGTGAAGGATTCGAACCCCCTTATCTTCTCTATATTTATTTTATTTAAATGGGCGAGTGGCAGTGATGTTGTGGGATCGAATCCCCACAGCTTGACTTTATTTACTTGTTATTTCGCCTCTCCCTTTAGCGATGAGGTCTTGGTATTGATCCCCATGGATTACATTTTCTTTTTTCATTATTTTCTCTACCTTCGCACGTACTTGGAGGTCGTGGGTTCGAATCCCACGCCTCCCATTTACTTGTTTACTTAATTTTTCTCCTTCTCCTCCCCATAGGTCGCGAGTTTGATCCCCCCCTTTCCTATTTCTCTTATTTCTTTTGCAAAAACAGATGCTAGGATGGAATCCCCCCAGCCCCTATTTCCCTTTTTCTTTGCCTCAAGAAATCAGTAGTTAAGGGGTTCGATTCCCATTAGATCCTTCACGTTTTTCTCTTATTTTTCAGACTTCTCAATATGTGAGGTCTTGGGTTCAATTCCCATTGACCTCACTTATTTATTTCCCTGTTTAAAAATTCAGAATTTAAACTTATGGGAGTGTATGCAATCTGGAAATTTTTTTCTTATCATTCTTCACTCATTTTTAGTCACCTCTTTCATGAGTTTACTTAGCTAAACGAGAGTTATTCAACCCAACATTTTTCATTATACTGAACACCACATTGCACAAACATTACACACATAAAATACTCCAAAAACACAAGAATATTCGACCCCAAAATAGTGGACAAAGCCACTTCCCACGATGCACACACAACACCAATTTTTGGTTACACTTTGAATATCATTTCGTAATTTCCCTCACATAAAACAGGTTCACACTTAATATAAATACGTCAATCATGCCTAAGTCTATAAGCACAACATACCCATCCTAAGAATTCATTTGGGAGCTAAGGACAAGGACATACGAAGGGGAACAACCTTAGTTTTCAAGAGCTTGA